TTCCAAATCTCACTTTTACCTTTTAATATCAGATAAACAGTTCAAATGTTTGGATGAACCAGTGAACATTCCTACTGCAGACTTTGACACCTCAAAATCTCTCAACAGAATCGCCACCTTACGTAAATCTGAACCTTTCTTTTAAACACAATATGAACTACAAATATTTTTGAGTTAGTTTTAAAAACACACAAACACACATTTGACCACCTTCCAAAAAATAATGGACTGTTTTACATCACCCTCTGCTGCCATCTGGTGGCTGAAGACTGTAACTGTCTGCTCAGGTCTCCCAACATTTTCTGGCCCCAGCAGTTCTCTAAACACTATACGATCACGGCTATTTGCTAGAATGTGTCGTTTGACAGCCACTCCTAACAAACCTTTCCTCTGAAGATGTAGAGAAAAGAGAAAAGGAGTCCTGTCGAACGACACATTCTAGCATATAACTCTGCGTTGTGGCCTCAGCAACGCCGGTTGGAATCCAGGTCACGGCACATTGGGTAAAAGCAGAGTGGCTCAGCGGAAACGTGCTGGGCCCATAACCCAGAGGTCGATGGATCGAAACCATCCTCTGCTATGCTAAACTTTTCACAATACGTTCAAAGTGTCTGATTGACGTACCCATCTCATTCCTCCCCCTCTTTTCTCTTCGATCTATTGTCAAGATGCAAAACAGTCTTTCCAAAGTCTTTGTTCTGAAGTGCATAGGAAGATTGTTTACAAATTAATCCTCCTTCCATCCTTGTGTTAGAAGGATTCTTCCAAAGATCTGTGTCATGTAAATGATGACTGTTCCTCCAACCTCTGCTCCACCGTCGTTTACTTTGCCATTCAGGAATAAACAGGTGGCGTAAAGCGGACCTCCTCTCAGGGGTTTGGGACGGAGATGACGCCTAGGACTCTGCAGCGGCCACGCGCTTGGTGTGGACGAGAGAAGAAAAGTTGCTCGAGTTAGCAGGAATCGAAGCCAGACTCTTCCGATCCGTAATCAGTTGCGTTAGTCGTTGCCCAACTAGCCCATCTGGTGTCAAGGAACTCCTTCTCATCGTGTCGGACCGGGACCGACTGTTTGCAGCGTGTGGCAAAATGGTTGTGTTTATCAAAAACACGTACTTCGTGTGAGGGTTGAACTCACAACCTTCATATGTGCATTCTCATGCAGCTGTGTAGAGGCATGTGAGCGCTTCTCACTTCCCTGGCACAGAACCTTCGATAGCTCAGTTGGTAGAGAGGAGGACTGTAGAGTACAAAGGTGGACATCCTTAGGTCGCTGGTTCAACTCCGGCTCGAAGGACTCCTTTTATCTTTTTCCACATCTTCAGAGGAAAGGTTTGTTAGGAGTTGCTGTCGAACGACACACTCTAGCGTATAGCCGTGATCGTATAGTGGTTAGTACTCTGCGTTGTGGCCGCAGCAACCCCGGTTCGAATCGGGTCACGGCACGTTGGGTAAAAGCAGAGTGGCGCAGCGGAAGCGTGCTGGGCCCATAACCCAGAGGTCGATGGATCGAAACCATCCTCTGCTATGCTAAACTTTTCACAATACGTTCAAAGTGTCTGATTGACGTACCCATCTCATTCCTCCCCCTCTTTTCTCTTCGATCTATTGTCAAGATGCAAAACAGTCTTTTCCAAAGTCTTTGTTCTGAAGTGCATAGGAAGATTGTTTACAAATTAATCCTCCTTCCATCCTTGTGTTAGAAGGATTCTTCCAAAGATCTGTGTCATGTAAATGATGACTGTTCCTCCAACCTCTGCTCCACCGTCGTTTACTTTGCCATTCAGGAATAAACAGGTGGCGTAAAGCGGACCTCCTCTCAGGGGTTTGGGACGGAGATGACGCCTAGGACTCTGCAACGGCCACGCGCTTGGTGTGGACGAGAGAAGAAAAGTTGCTCGAGTTAGCCAGGAATCGAAGCCAGACTCTTCCGATCCGTAATCAGTTGCGTTAGTCGTTGCCCAACTAGCCCATCTGGTGTCAAGGAACTCCTTCTCATCGTGTCGGACCGGGACCGACTGTTTGCAGCGTGTGGCAAAATGGTTGTGTTTATCAAAACACGTACTTCGTGTGAGGGTTGAACTCACAACCTTCATATGTGCATTCTCATGCAGCTGTGTAGAGGCATGTGAGCGCTTCTCACTTCCCTGGCACAGAACCTTCGATAGCTCAGTTGGTAGAGCGGAGGACTGTAGAGTACAAAGGTGGACATCCTTAGGTCGCTGGTTCACTCCGGCTCGAAGGACTCCTTTTATCTTTTTTCCACATCTTCAGAGGAAAGGTTTGTTAGGAGTTGCTGTCGAACGACACACTCTAGCGTATAGCCGTGATCGTATAGTGGTTAGTACTCTGCGTTGTGGCCGCAGCAACCCGGTTCGAATCCGGGTCACGGCACGTTGGGTAAAAGCAGAGTGGCGCAGCGGAAGCGTGCTGGGCCCATAACCCAGAGGTCGATGGATCGAAACCATCCTCTGCTATGCTAAACTTTTCACAATACGTTCAAAGTGTCTGATTGACGTACCCATCTCATTCCTCCCCCTCTTTTCTCTTCGATCTATTGTCAAGATGCAAACAGTCTTTTCCAAAGTCTTTGTTCTGAAGTGCATAGGAAGATTGTTTACAAATTAATCCTCCTTCCATCCTTGTGTTAGAAGGATTCTTCCAAAGATCTGTGTCATGTAAATGATGACTGTTCCTCCAACCTCTGCTCCACCGTCGTTTACTTTGCCATTCAGGAATAAACAGGTGGCGTAAAGCGGACCTCCTCTCAGGGGTTTGGGACGGAGATGACGCCTAGGACTCTGCAACGGCCACGCGCTTGGTGTGGACGAGAGAAGAAAAGTTGCTCGAGTTAGCCAGGAATCGAAGCCAGACTCTTCCGATCCGTAATCAGTTGCGTTAGTCGTTGCCCAACTAGCCCATCTGGTGTCAAGGAACTCCTTCTCATCGTGTCGGACCGGGACCGACTGTTTGCAGCGTGTGGCAAAATGGTTGTGTTTATCAAAACACGTACTTCGTGTGAGGGTTGAACTCACAACCTTCATATGTGCATTCTCATGCAGCTGTGTAGAGGCATGTGAGCGCTTCTCACTCCCTGGCACAGAACCTTCGATAGCTCAGTTGGTAGAGCGGAGGACTGTAGAGTACAAAGGTGGACATCCTTAGGTCGCTGGTTCAACTCCGGCTCGAAGGACTCCTTTTATCTTTTTTCCACATCTTCAGAGGAAAGGTTTGTTAGGAGTTGCTGTCGAACGACACACTCTAGCGTATAGCCGTGATCGTATAGTGGTTAGTACTCTGCGTTGTGGCCGCAGCAACCCCGGTTCGAATCCGGTCACGGCACGTTGGGTAAAAGCAGAGTGGCGCAGCGGAAGCGTGCTGGGCCCATAACCCAGAGGTCGATGGATCGAAACCATCCTCTGCTATGCTAAACTTTTCACAATACGTTCAAAGTGTCTGATTGACGTACCCATCTCATTCCTCCCCCTCTTTTTCTTCGATCTATTGTCAAGATGCAAAACAGTCTTTTCCAAAGTCTTTGTTCTGAAGTGCATAGGAAGATTGTTTACAAATTAATCCTCCTTCCATCCTTGTGTTAGAAGGATTCTTCCAAAGATCTGTGTCATGTAAATGATGACTGTTCCTCCAACCTCTGCTCCACCGTCGTTTACTTTGCCATTCAGGAATAAACAGGTGGCGTAAAGCGGACCTCCTCTCAGGGGTTTGGGACGGAGATGACGCCTAGGACTCTGCAACGGCCACGCGCTTGGTGTGGACGAGAGAAGAAAAGTTGCTCGAGTTAGCCAGGAATCGAAGCCAGACTCTTCCGATCCGTAATCAGTTGCGTTAGTCGTTGCCCAACTAGCCCATCTGGTGTCAAGGAACTCCTTCTCATCGTGTCGGACCGGGACCGACTGTTTGCAGCGTGTGGCAAAATGGTTGTGTTTATCAAAACACGTACTTGTGTGAGGGTTGAACTCACAACCTTCATATGTGCATTCTCATGCAGCTGTGTAGAGGCATGTGAGCGCTTCTCACCTCTGTGGCACAGAACCTTCGATAGCTCAGTTGGTAGAGCGGAGGACTGTAGAGTACAAAGGTGGACATCCTTAGGTCGCTGGTTCAACTCCGGCTCGAAGGACTCCTTTTATCTTTTTTCCACATCTTCAGAGGAAAGGTTTGTTAGGAGTTGCTGTCGAACGACACACTCTAGCGTATAGCCGTGATCGTATAGTGGTTAGTACTCTGCGTTGTGGCCGCAGCAACCCCGGTTCGAATCCGGGTCACGGCACGTTGGGTAAAAGCAGAGTGGCGCAGCGGAAGCGTGCTGGGCCCATAACCCAGAGGTCGATGGATCGAAACCATCCTCTGCTATGCTAAACTTTTCACAATACGTTCAAAGTGTCTGATTGACGTACCCATCTCATTCCTCCCCCTCTTTTCTCTTCGATCTATTGTCAAGATGCAAACAGTCTTTCCAAAAAGTCTTTGTTCTGAAGTGCATAGGAAGATTGTTTACAAATTAATCCTCCTTCCATCCTTGTGTTAGAAGGATTCTTCCAAAGATCTGTGTCATGTAAATGATGACTGTTCCTCCAACCTCTGCTCCCCGTCGTTTACTTTGCCATTCAGGAATAAAACAGGTGGCGTAAAGCGGACTCCTCTCAGGGGTTTGGGACGGAGATGACGCCTAGGACTCTGCAACGGCCACGCGCTTGTGTGGACGAGAGAAGAAAAGTTGCTCGAGTTAGCCAGGAATCGAAGCCAGACTCTTCCGATCGTAATCAGTTGCGTAGTCGTTGCCCAACTAGCCCATCTGGTGTCAAGGAACTCCTTCTCATCGTGTCGGACCGGGACCGACTGTTTGCAGCGTGTGGCAAAATGGTTGTGTTTATCAAAACACGTACTTCGTGTGAGGGTTGAACTCACAACCTTCATATGTGCATTCTCATGCAGCTGTGTAGAGGCATGTGAGCGCTTCTCACCTCTGTGGCACAGAACCTTCGATAGCTCAGTTGGTTAGAGCGGAGGACTGTAGAGTACAAAGGTGGACATCCTTAGGTCGCTGGTTCAACTCCGGCTCGAAGGACTCCTTTTATCTTTTTTCCACATCTTCAGAGGAAAGGTTTGTTAGGAGTTGCTGTCGAACGACACACCTAGCGTATGCCGTGATCGTATATGGTTAGTACTCTGCGTTGTGGCCGCAGCAACCCCGGTTCGTATCCGGGTCACGGCACGTTTGGGTAAAAGCAGAGTGGCGCAGCGGAAGCGTGCTGGGGCCCATAACCAGAGGTCGATGGATCGAAACCATCCTCTGCTATGCTAAACTTTTCACAATACGTTCAAAGTGTCTGATTGACGTACCCATCTCATTCCTCCCCCTCTTTTCTCTTCGATCTATTGTCAAGATGCAAAACAGTCTTTTCCAAAGTCTTTGTTCTGAAGTGCATAGGAAGATTGTTTACAAATTAATCCTCCTTCATCCTTGTTAGAAGGATTCTTCCAAAGATCTGTGTCATGTAAATGATGACTGTTCCTCCAACCTCTGCTCCACCGTCGTTTACTTTGCCATTCAGGAATAAACAGGTGGCGTAAAGCGGACCTCCTCTCAGGGGTTTGGGACGGAGATGACGCCTAGGACTCTGCAACGGCCACGCGCTTGGTGTGGACGAGAGAAGAAAAGTTGCTGAGTTAGCCAGGAATCGAAGCCAGACTCTTCCGATCCGTAATCAGTTGCGTTAGTCGTTGCCCAACTAGCCCATCTGGTGGTCAAGGAACTCCTTCTCATCGTGTCGGACCGGGACCGACTGTTTGCAGCGTGTGGCAAAATGGTTGTGTTTATCAAACACGTACTGAGGGTTTACCACAACCTTCATATGTGCATTCTCATGCAGCTGTGTAGAGGCATGTGAGCGCTTCTCACCTCTGTGGCACAGAACCTTCGATAGCTCAGTTGGTAGAGCGGAGGACTGTAGAGTACAAAGGTGGACATCCTTAGGTCGCTGGTTCAACTCCGGCTCGAAGGACTCCTTTTATCTTTTTTCCACATCTTCAGAGGAAAGGTTTGTTAGGAGTTGCTGTCGAACGACACACTCTAGCGTATAGCCGTGATCGTATAGTGGTTAGTACTCTGCGTTGTGGCCGCAGCAACCCCGGTTCGAATCCGGGTCACTGCACGTTGGGTAAAAGCAGAGTGGCGCAGCGGAAGCGTGCTGGGCCCATAACCCAGAGGTCGATGGATCGAAACCATCCTCTGCTATGCTAAACTTTTCACAATACGTTCAAAGTGTCTGATTGACGTACCCATCTCATTCCTCCCCTCTTTTCTCTTCGATCTATTGTCAAGATGCAAAAACAGTCTTTTCCAAAGTCTTTGTTCTGAAGTGCATAGGAAGATTGTACAAATTAATCCTCCTTCCATCCTTGTGTTAGAAGGATTCTTCCAAAGATCTGTGTCATGTAAATGATGACTGTTCCTCCAACCTCTGCTCCACCGTCGTTTACTTTGCCATTCAGGAATAAACAGGTGGCGTAAAGCGGACCTCCTCTCAGGGGTTTGGGACGGAGATGACGCCTAGGACTCTGCAACGGCCACGCGCTTGGTGTGGACGAGAGAAGAAAAGTTGCTCGAGTTAGCCAGGAATCGAAGCCAGACTCTTCCGATCCGTAATCAGTTGCGTTAGTCGTTGCCCAACTAGCCCATCTGGTGTCAAGGAACTCCTTCTCATCGTGTCGGACCGGGACCGACTGTTTGCAGCGTGTGTGGCAAAATGGTTGTGTTTATCAAAACACGTACTTCGTGTGAGGGTTGAACTCACAACCTTCATATGTGCATTCTCATGCAGCTGTGTAGAGGCATGTGAGCGCTTCTCACCTCTGTGGCACAGAACCTTCGATAGCTCAGTTGGTAGAGCGGAGGACTGTAGAGTACAAAGGTGGACATCCTTAGGTCGCTGGTTCAACTCCGGCTCGAAGGACTCCTTTTATCTTTTTTCCACATCTTCAGAGGAAAGGTTTGTTAGGAGTTGCTGTCGAACGACACACTCTAGCGTATAGCCGTGATCGTATAGTGGTTAGTACTCTGCGTTGTGGCCGCAGCAACCCGGTTCGAATCCGGGTCACAGCACGTTGGGTAAAAGCAGAGTGGCGCAGCGGAAGCGTGCTGGGCCCATAACCCAGAGGTCGATGGATCGAAACCATCCTCTGCTATGCTAAACTTTTCACAATACGTTCAAAGTGTCTGATTGACGTACCATCTCATTCCTCCCCTCTTTTCTCTTCGATCTATTGTCAAGATGCAAAACAGTCTTTTCCAAAGTCTTTGTTCTGAAGTGCATAGGAAGATTGTTTACAAATTAATCCTCCTTCCATCCTTGTGTTAGAAGGATTCTTCCAAAGATCTGTGTCATGTAAATGATGGACTGTTCCTCCAACCTCTGCTCCACCGTCGTTTACTTTGCCATTCAGGAATAAACAGGTGGCGTAAAGCGGACCTCCTCTCAGGGGTTTGGGACGGAGATGACGCCTAGGACTCTGCAACGGCCCACGCGCTTGGTGTGGACGAGAGAAGAAAAGTTGCTCGAGTTAGCCAGGAATCGAAGCCAGACTCTTCCGATCCGTAATCAGTTGCGTTAGTCGTTGCCCAACTAGCCCATCTGGTGTCAAGGAACTCCTTCTCATCGTGTCGGACCGGGACCGACTGTTTGCAGCGTGTGGCAAAATGGTTGTGTTTATCAAAACACGTACTTCGTGTGAGGGTTGAACTCACAACCTTCATATGTGCATTCTCATGCAGCTGTGTAGAGGCATGTGAGCGCTTCTCACTTCCCTGGCACAGAACCTTCGATAGCTCAGTTGGTAGAGCGGAGGACTGTAGAGTACAAAGGTGGGACATCCTTAGGTCGCTGGTTCAACTCCGGCTCGAAGGACTCCTTTTATCTTTTTTCCACATCTTCGAGGAAAGGTTTGTTAGGAGTTGCTGTCGAACGACACACTCTAGCGTATAGCCGTGATCGTATAGTGGTTAGTACTCTGCGTTGTGGCCGCAGCAACCCCGGTTCGAATCCGGGTCACGGGCACATTGGGTAAAAGCAGAGTGGCGCAGCGGAAAGCGTGCTGGGCCCATAACCCAGAGGTCGATGGATCGAAACCATCCTCTGCTATGCAAAACTTTTCACAATACGTTCAAAGTGTCTGATTGACATACCCATCTCATTCCTCCCCCTCTTTTCTCTTCGATCTATTGTCAAGATGCAAAAACAGTCTTTTCCAAAGTCTTTGTTCTGAAGTGCATAGGAAGATTGTTTACAAATTAATCCTCCTTCCATCCTTGTGTTAGAAGGATTCTTCCAAAGATCTGTGTCATGTAAATGATGACTGTTCCTCCAACCTCTGCTCCACCGTCGTTTACTTTGCCATTCAGGAATAAACAGGTGGCGTAAAGCGGACCTCCTCTCAGGGGTTTGGGACGGAGATGACGCCTAGGACTCTGCAACGGCCACGCGCTTGGTGTGGACGAGAGAAGAAAAGTTGCTCGAGTTAGCCAGGAATCGAAGCCAGACTCTTCCGATCCGTAATCAGTTGCGTTAGTCGTTGCCCAAACTAGCCATCTGGTGTCAAGGAACTCCTTCTCATCGTGTCGGACCGGGACCGACTGTTGCAGTGTGTGGCAAAATGGTTGTGTTTATCAAAACACGTACTTCGTGTGAGGGTTGAACTCATAACCTTCATATGTGCATTCTCATGCAGCTGTGTAGAGGCATGTGAGCGCTTCTCACTTCCCTGGCACAGAACCTTCGATAGCTCAGTTGATAGAGAGGAGGACTGTAGAGTACAAAGGTGGACATCCTTAGGTCGCTGGTTCAACTCCGGCTCGAAGGACTCCTTTTATCTTTTTTCCAAATCTTCAGAGGAAAGGTTTGTTAGGAGTTGCTGTCGAACGACACACTCTAGCGTATAGCCGTGATCGTATAGTGGTTAGTACTCTGCGTTGTGGCCGCAGCAACCCCGGTTCGAATCCGGGTCACGGCACGTTGGGTAAAAGCAGAGTGGCGCAGCGGAAGTGTGCTGGGCCCATAACCCAGAGGTCGATGGATCGAAACCATCCTCTGCTATGCTAAACTTTTCACAATACGTTCAAAGTGTCTGATTGACGTACCCATCTCATTCCTCCCCCTCTTTTCTCTTCGATCTATTGTCAAGATGCAAAACAGTCTTTCCAAAGTCTTTGTTCTGAAGTGCATAGGAAGATTGTTTACAATTAATCCTCCTTCCATCCTGTGTTAGAAGGATTCTTCCAAAGATCTGTGTCATGTAAATGATGACTGTTCCTCCAACCTCTGCTCACCGTCGTTTACTTTGCCATTCAGGAATAAAACAGGTGGCGTAAAGCGGACTCCTCTCAGGGGTTTGGGACGGAGATGACGCCTAGGACTCTGCAGCGGCCACGCGCTTGGTGTGGACGAGAGAAGAAAAGTTGCTCGAGTTAGCCAGGAATCGAAGCCAGACTCTTCCGATCCGTAATCAGTTGCGTTAGTCGTTGCCCAACTAGCCCATCTGGTGTCAAGGAACTCCTTCTCATCGTGTCGGACCGGGGCCGACTGTTGCAGCGTGTGGCAAAATGGTTGTGTTATCAAAAACACGTACTTCGTGTGAGGGTTGAACTCACAACCTTCATATGTGCATTCTCATGCAGCTGTGTAGAGGCATGTGAGCGCTTCTCACCTCTGTGGCACAGAACCTTCGATAGCTCAGTTGGTAGAGCGGAGGACTGTAGAGTACAAAGGTGGACATCCTTAGGTCGCTGGTTCAACTCCGGCTCGAAGGACTCCTTTTATCTTTTTTCCACATCTTCAGAGGAAAGGTTTGTTAGGAGTTGCTGTCGAACGACACACTCTAGCGTATAGCCGTGATCGTATAGTGGTTAGTACTCTGCGTTGTGGCCGCAGCAAACCCGGTTCGAATCCGGGTCACGGCACGTTGGGTAAAAGCAGAGTGGCGCAGCGGAAGCGTGCTGGGCCCATAACCCAGAGGTCGATGGATCGAAACCATCCTCTGCTATGCTAAACTTTTCACAATACGTTCAAAGTG